CCCTACTAGATTACTGTATTTTGTCATATATAATGTGTACTTTTTGCCCAGATTTTTGAGGGAATACTAAGGGTGAGCATTATACATGGGAAGCACTAATTCTATATCTGTATAAAGGTTTTTAATTCTTTTATTTATGTGTTAAAAGTGTAACTCTAGAAGCAGTAACAATATCCATATGCAAAATAATACCCTGGAATATGGTACTTGGTTTTGTTTCTAAATATAAACAAACAAAAAAATTGAATTAAAAAGTTAAAGATTTTTTTCCCTGGAAGTTTAGGCCAAAAATGTAGGTGCATATTATACATGGGAATGCATTATACATGGCAAAATATGGTAAGTTCTTTGTTGGCAGAAATCATGACTTTTTTTTCTGATCTACTTTATTTAGTGATTTTCTGCCTAAGTAATGTTTGCAATAATTGTATTGTTCTTAGATGACATTGAATTCCAATCAATACTCTCACTTTTATCCACTCATCATTATACCACTTTGAATGAGCTAAACGCCAATAAGCTTCCATGCCATATTACCTTAAATTTAAAATTCTGCAAACTGTTCTTTATTCTTGACCTTTAGGTCTGTTGAGTCCCTGTCGCTGATTTTGTTCCTATAATTCACTGGGTCTTTAAACTAGCCACGGATTGATTTGCCACCTATAAATCTTCTGCCAATCTGTCACTTTCAAGAGCTGAAATCAGTTGATTTTTAACAGATTTTGTTTTGGCAGCCAATCACTTTTACTTTGTTCTTATAGACCACTCCTTTAGTGGTGGCCTCATTCATTAGCATAAATGCCTGCTTGTCTCCTACTGCTCAAGTCTAAATTCTGAAATGAGGTTTTGTTTTCGAAAGCTTCCCTTTAATGATAGTATATTTCAAAGAATAGTTGCTAATTATAAGGAGGTGTTACCTTCATTCTGACTCTTACAGAAAACAATTTCAGATGTTCAAAAGCAAGGACAATTGCACATTCTTTTTTTTTTTTTTTGAAAGGTGCCTGTAATAGAAGTATGTTTTGAGGCAGTAACAGTATACCTCCTGTTTCTAGGTAGAGCAGTGGTCTTCCTTCTACACAGCCGCTAAGGAAGGTGTCATGTGTTCATAATACGACTTAGCACACAGTGGACTAATTTGAGTACAAAAGAGGTTTTAATAATTTGAAAGGGGCACAGATGTGAATGCAGTGCAAGACGTTTTAATTCTAAATCCTGAGGTTGAATCACAATGTATTTTAAATGGTGCCAAAGACCATCAACCCAAACTTGTATGAATGAGAAAGCCTTAGATTGTTTATGTGTTGCATAATTTTTATTCTGAATTTATTTACTGTGGTACTCTCTCCCAAGATCCTGAGATATAAAGGAACTTGGTTTGGGTGGGCTACCACACTTCAGATCCAAATGCAAGTAGAATATTTTTTCTTAAACTATCAGCTTCAAAGATTCACATTCTCTATTCAATTAAATGGGAAAATTTATAACACTTTCATTCAAGTCACAGAGGACTACTGAATCTCATTATTACTAAGGTTAAATATAAGTTGATTTGCAGTTATCACCAGTTCACTTCCTTGTCATATTTTTCAGTTAATTAGATACCAATTTGTTTCTCTTTCTATCTCTTTTCTTTCTCTAATCTCTGAAGGCCACTGCAGGGTGGCCTTTGGCATCTCAAGAAAGATTCTGTGATAAAACTCTCCCCTCCCTCCCGTCCTGAGCATTCTACCTTAGGAGGAAAGAGTTTCATCTGGAGGGCGACCTATCAGTGTAGAATCAGGCCAGGAGTCTGAGATCCATTCTGAGTCACCATGAGTAGGACTTGACTACTGGTTGGGCCCCAGGGAAACTGGTGGTTAAATAGTGTGAGAATCTTTATCAGACAGGAAATGACAACTCATTAAAATACTAACCGTTAAGCCTGTTTAGATCACTGCCTTGGGGGTAGGGAGGAAATTGTAACTCTATAATGTTTGACTAAAGTATGACATTTCTGAAAACAAAGAATTATTTATAAGACTGTTATCAAGAAAGAAAAGTTCTGGTCCATCTCGTTTCTGAATTTCTGTCACACTGCCATTGCTTCTTTTGTGCAAATGATGTAGTGGGAGTGCGATATGGAGAAGCTTTTATTTCATCCTTGAAAGCCTCTCCCAGTAGAGCGGTAAGTAGTATCTCATAGTGCAGTGCAGTCCCTGTAGCAGAAGAGTCAGTCTAGAAAAGACTGCTTTGTGTGTAGGGCTCTATTGCTGTGCTCCGGGGCCAAGTCTCAATTAATAGATTTCTCTGGAGTCAGGATAAATTCATTGTATTGATTTACATGCAGTAATCCCCACCCATTCAAGAAAATTCTAAAGATCCTGATATTCATTTAAAACGAAAGCTTTAACTGTGGGCACAGGGTTTCAGAGTCTCGAGGTTTGGCTTTCCAGATTCTTAAAGGCCTATTAGAAGGATGAGCAAAAAAGAGATAGCCAGCCCACATCTCTGTAGAAATATACATATTCTTCCCCTGATATAGTACCTAGCAACCCTGCAACGAGTTAAATAAGCCTTAAGATATTTTTTACCTTTTGCGAACAAAGTATAATATTTTGTACTCCTTGCAGTTTAGCTTCACGGTCTAAACCAGTGGTCATCTCTATCAGAGTGGAACTAAAATTATAGAACTTTATTTATATTTACTTTAATCTTTTTAATTTTATTCTTGTGTGTTTTTGTAATGTGTAATATTATTACAGTAGCACCCATGTATAAAATTTATTTGGCTGTTCATATGTGGAGAATGTAGCTTACCATCAGTGTGACGGACATTCCTTCCGTCTCCGTGCCAGGAGGTCATCGGCCGGGGATCACTGACAGGCTAGGGGACGAGTGTGGGCTTCACAGTACACAGGACAGTTACAGTGAGCATGTTGCAGTTTACCGAGTCTTTTCTCTACTCATTAATAAGATTAATAGTTTATAATTCCCAGTTTTACCGAAACTAATCCTCACAAACAAGTGGATTAAAGAGTTTTTTTGTAAAGAAACAGTAGAAGGAAGATAATACAAAGAATGTACTCTCCAGAAGCAGCAGGAAAAGTTGCAGCATGGTATTTCACCTTTTCCTAGTATGTGTCTATAGGAATCAGCCAAAATATTCAGAAATTACCAGTCTTAACACAGGACAAGTATATAATATGCCTTGAAATAGTAGTCACTGATGACAGCATGTAAGCCATCATAAGTAGCAATACTTTAAAGTAATTTTTAGAAGAGAAGAGGTAGGCGGAGATAAATGGTGATGGATGGAAGCTTGGAGTGGTGAACACACAGTGCACTATTTAGATGATGTATTACAGAATTCTACGCCTGAAACCTATATAATTTTATTAACCAATGTCACCCCGATAAATTCAATTAAAATCAATAAATACAATTAAAACTGTTTAAAGTAATAATTTTAAAAATCTTTATCTTTGTTTTATCCTTTTAATTTTGTTTTTGTGCATTTTATTGTTTGCATGAGTATTATATACGTACATCAAAAGTGTTTTTAGCCCTGGCCATTGTGGCTCAGTTGGTTGGAACATCATCCCCTAAATCGAAAGGTTCCTGTTCATTCCCGTCTGGACACGAGCCTGGGTTACAGGTTTAGTCTTCAGTCCTAGTGTGTGTGAGAGGCAGTTGATTGATGTATCTCTTGAGCAATGATGTTTCTCTCCTCTCTTTCCATCCCTTCCCTTCTCTCTAGAATCAATAACCATGATCTCGGGTGAGGATTTTTAAAAATATATTATGTTTTTAGACCATTGGTCTAGGCTCCTCTGCCCTTAAAAGCCACTATCAAAACTACTGGTCATGGCTGTGGCCTGTTAGCTCAGTTGGTTAGAGCATTGTTCTGATCTCCAAGGTTGTGGGTTTGATCTCTGGTCAGGTCACATATAAGAATCAACCAGTGCAGTGTGGTGATTATGGAGGTGGAGGACTGTATAGGAGAGATAAATAGTAATGGGAAAAATCCAATGAAAATACATTAAAAAACAAGAGAATGAACCAATGAATGCGTGAGTGGAACAAGTCAGTGTTTCTCTTTCTACCTCTTTCTCTCTAAAAATCAGTAAATTTTTTTAAAAAAATCATTGATAGTGCTCTGGCTGGCATAGCTCAGTGGATTGAGCACCGGCCTGTGAATAGGAGAGTCCCTGGTTCAATTTCCATTTGGGGCACATGCCTAGGTTGTAGGCCAGGTCCCTAGAGGGGGGCACGTGAGAGGCAACCACACACTGATGTTTCTATCCCTTTCTCCTTCCCTTCCCCTCTCTCTCAAAATAAATAAAACCTTAAAAAAATAAAATCATTGGTAGTGCTCTGGCTTGTGTGGCTCAGTGGGCTGAGCACTGGCCAGCAAACCCCTAAAGGTTGCTAATTCAATTCCTGGTCAGGGTACATGCCTGGGGTGCAGCCAGGTCCTTGGTTGGGGAAGTGCAGAGAGGCAGCTGAGCAGTGTATCTCTCACACAGCTATGTTTCTCTCCCTCTTTCTCCTTTCCCCTCTCTCTAAAAAAATAAGTGAATAAAAACCACTGGTAGTTTACTTTAAAAGGTTTACTTCAGAAGATCTCTATTATGCTTTCTGAATTATACCAGCCGTAGAATTGTTTAAATCCTTTTCCCTTTTTATATTACTCCTGACTTGAATCTTATTCTAAAAACATTTCCTCATATTTATAAGTTTTCAAAGATTTAACTAATCACACCCTATGAGACGATATAATTAATCATCAGAGGTATGTTAAATAAATCAGCCTCAAAGTACTTCACAAACAGTGAAACAAAGGTGAAAGACCACATGCCCCCACCTTCTGCTAAGAAAGATAAAGGTTCATTACTCCATGACCTTACTCGGAACCCACGACACTGTTTTCTGGAAAGCCAGTGTAACTTACATGATCACATTAATGCTAAGATCCTCAAAATAGTGGTTAAGAAGGGGAAAAAGCTTATATTAGACAAAAATTTTAATTCCCTTAGTTATTTGAACTGCTTAACCTTTATATAGGCCTTGTGTAAGTCTAAACAATAAAACAGATGCATTTTTTTAAAGTTCATGTTATTTCTATGTTATTAAGCACTGTGCTGCAGCTGTATGTTGGCACATAGTAACAAAAAACAACACACCTGGCTGGAAAAATTCAAACAGAATCATGATCAGGAAAATTTCAGGCCCTCTAATAGCAAGCCCTAGTTCAACGACTATCATCTCCGTGATGGAAAAGAGTGGATCACATGGTGTATGTCTCATGTCTGGGGAGCCCGGTTCAGGGTTACACAGTTTGAGAGGAGTCCTTTGAAAACAGGAGCAATAATGACCGATGAATTTTTGGAATGGGAGTGCGCTCCAGACTACCCAACACACGAAAATTTAAGCCTTGTGGAAACCTGGTGTGATCACACCCCCACTGTCCATGCAGCCTCCGCCGATGGCGGTGCTGCCTCTGGAAGGTTTTCTGGCCTTTGTGCTCACAGAGAATAATGCACACCTCTCACGGGCTGATACGGGCAGAATTCAAGACAGCTTTCTTCCCAGATAAGTGATTTCCAGAAGCAGAGTCACATCTGTATTAAAAACTATGAAAAAAAAAAAAAGATTTTGTTTGCATATGGGGCAGGGCCCTTGACAGAATTTTGCCAAGAAGTTGGTCTTGTGTCGGTTGTAACACATACTCAGGTGTGTCAGCAGGGCAAAACATTGTTCCCACGATACCGCTTTTGGCTCTGAATGGGTTTGGACTTCTGTGGGTTTGGTTTTTTTTTTTTCTTTTTACCCTGCTCTTTCATTTGCATTTTCTGAGGGGTTTTTGTCCCCCTTTATTACAATGGGTTATAAATGCTCAGAAGTTGCCATTAGAATAATTTGTTAGACATTTGGTTTTTAGTAAGTTATATCACCTGAAAAATGTGTATCAAAAATAAACTTCAAGATATTACATCCACACACACAAAAAAAGATAAAAGCTTTTTTACCCACCAAGTTGAAGGTCTACAGCAAGAAAAAGCACATGAGATCAATATCTGTGTTTCTTTTCTTTTTCTTTTTTCTTTTTTCATTTTCAGCTTTCTCCCCTAGAGAAAGTGGCTGTTTAGAAGTGGCTATTTAGAAGGCTAGTTTAAACATATTTAAGGTCTAACAGTCAACTGAAAAATAGTTCTGTTGTGTTTGTGACCCTCCTACTTTATATTCTTCTGTATCGCAAAACTGTAATACTTTTGAATTTAATCAGCACATGGAGGACTCCACCCACTAGGAATTCTCAACTCACTCTGGGTTGAGATGGGAGTTCCTTCCTAGCCAGGTACACAGGGTACTACTCTGAATTTAATGGCTTTAGATAATAGCATTTAAGCTATTTCCTAAGCCAACTATAAAAAAACAAAAAAACCTACTGGACCGTGATGCAGGTTATTCCTACAGCCTATATATATATATATATATTTAATCTTAAATGTCAGAATGGACACTCATCTGCTGTTTGACAGTAACTTGAAGGCGAGGCTGCAGGCTGGTGGTGCGGTTTCCCTTAAATGCCTGTTCGTAGCGATAGTCGTGGTTCCAGTTTTCGTCTGGTCCGTGACCGAAGTAGTTTTAGTGTTAATTCAGAAAACTAGCATAAGCCTGCTTTGTCAGAGCTGAGGCATCTGGCCTAAGCCATTGTTTGTAGAACTGGTGAAAAGAAAATGAGAACCTGAAATTTATGAGTATATAAAACAGATTAAGAAGATGTAGTAATTGTTTATATAAGACTTAATGTCTAAATTTCAAATATATTAACTTTAGATGTGTTGAGATTGTGTGTCAGTAGTGTTGATTACTGTTACTATAAAAAACTTTTAATTTCTCTATTTTCAACTATTTTCCTAGTCTCTTATGAGAAACCACAGCTCCCACCCCACCACCAAAAACCCCCCAAAGCGTGTAACACCACAGTACCTTGAAAAATTAATCTCAGCATTAGCCCAGGAGAATTCTTTGAAGGTTGCATATCTTGTGAATATATAATGGCATATATTCTCTGTCATCTAGAGTGGACTTCCAATGGCAAATCATTTTTCTTTTCAGATTATTTTGGAGGGAGTCTAGAATGACTGTTGCCAGTCCCTCCCTCATTCCCCTCAACAACAAAAACAAAAAGTTAGAACTTTCCTAGCCTTTAGATATTGGTTCTTAATTTTCTCTTTAAATAATTACTTGATCCTAGAGCCCAAGAAGGGTTTGAGGGGAACTGTCAGCCCGGCTTTTGTTCAGCTCCGTTTGGGAGGCAGAGGCTTAAGGCTGAACAGGACTGTGTTGGGACCCGGGTCCTGGCGGACGTTGGGAAAGGGGCTTTTCAGGTCATTTCTCGAACAGCCTAGCTGTTTAAATTAGCATACAGTCAGTGCAGCCTTTCTAAATAAGAATTTTTTTCATCTTTGAAAAAAAAATAGCATAGGTATTAAGTGTGAACGAGTCAATTTCTGAAGGAAAGTCCTTATTAATCTGCAGTCTTCAATGCCACTTTTTTCCATATTTCAGTAGAATTGTTTTTTTATATTAGTGTGATTTGTTTCGAGTGTAAATGGATGAGGTATTTGCATTCCCCTTTGCATTATGTAAAGAACTGCGCGAGGAAAATCCCTGGTGAAGAGAAAGTTTGTGGTGCTGCCCGTGCCCCTTTCTTGTCCGAACCAGAGGGGTGACCGCAGCACAGCTCAGACATGGCTCTGGGCACCGGGCTCTGGGTTTGGCCGCCTGACCGTCAGAGCCTGAGGCTGTGGGCTGGGAGACCTCGCCCTTCTCCACCTGGGTGTCTGTCGCTCGGGGCTCCTAGTCCAATTGGCACAGCCACAGCCTCTACTGCACACTACTATTTGGGGCTTTTTACATACCCTTCAGTTTTCATTCAAGATCAGCTTCACCCCACACTGCTCTCTCTCCTTCCAGTTCTTTTGCAGTGTATCTCTGTATCAACAGATTTAGTGTGGTCTTGTAAACTCTTTTGTTCTCAAATCAGTTCGTGTGTGTGCGCGCGTGCATGTGTGTTGAATCCCCGTAATGATTTTAAGTCTTTTGTGGACTTGGACTGTATCCCCGCCATAGCGCCAGTTAGTGCTGGACACAAAATAAGAACTTCATTAAGTGTTTGGTGGTCAGCAATTAAAATAACTAAAGAAAAGTATCTGGCAGGAGTTTTATATTTGTTAGCTTCTGGTAAATATAATAGCAAAAAAGTTCTCTCCCTCGACCCCTCTGCTTTTGATTACAGAAAGCAGCAACTGAATTGTTCTAGAAATGAGGTGAGGCTAATCTAGTTACTTAAAAGGAGAGCATTAGGCACATGTTGAAATGCCTTTTGCTGGCCCCAGAAAAGAGATTGGGTTTGTTTACCTTTTAGCCCTATTACGACAGATGGGAAAATATAGGGGTACTAAAGGGCACAGAAAATAGAGCTGTTTGGTTTTCTAAGTTGCTCCAAGTTACCATTTTAAAACGCCTGCAGGCATTTCTAAACCGGGAGTCCGGTAGCTCCAGTTGCCAAACCGGTTTAGCAGCGCTGCCTCCTCTGGTTCTGGGTGAGAGGGAGCTCCGAGTACCCAGACTTATCAGAGATCCCTATCCCGGTCTTCTGAGAACACGCTGTGTGGCAATGTGCTGTCGTTTCTGTGCACACCGCCTACCAGAAACCCCGAAGTGATTCCAGGGTCAGAGTTCCTTCTTTGTCCCTTTGTTAATCACTGACTTCTGACTGGTGGGAGGTGCCTTCCAGATTCGCTAATGCATTCTTTTTGGAGAGGGATGACGCACAGATTGTCCTAATAAGGACTTAGACTGAGAAAGTACCACCCCCTCTGAGAAGAAGGGACAAGTCAGAGAGAGGGCGGGCAGTTTCTTTTTCAACTGGGGATGACACAAGCATAAGTCATTTCCTTATTAATCGGTTCAAACCAGTTCTTACAGGAACTGCTGGTGATAAATGTGGGGCTTCTCAGAAGTCATTCATTTTATTCTTTGTACCACCCCAGTGTGCGTCCTCTGCGGACTCGCTCCACCACACCGGACTCTGCCAGGAGCAGGGCGCTGAGCTCCTGCCCTCTCCCGCACATGGTGGTGGGAGAGATGATTCTCCTTTACGGGGTCGTTAAAGGACGAATTTTTATCCACTAGACAGAGTTCACAAGATTTCGCCAGCTCAGCTAATAGTTTTACTTTTTTTTTCTCTTTCTACCAATCCCTGCTTTTTGAATCCAGGCGGTAAGTGGATTTTTCTTTAACATGTTTCCTTCTTCTCTTCCCAAATGTACCTTTTTCCTCGGGTTGTTGTCCCTGCTCCCAGTGCTGTTCCCGGCATAGGTCCGTCTCTCCAGAAGCCATTCCAGGAGTACCTGGAGGCCCAGCGGCAGAAGCTTCACCACAGAGGCGAGATGGGCACACCACAGGTGAGACTTGCTCTGTTTGCTCCCCCTCCCCACCCCCGAGTTTTAGACTGAAATCACATTCTCGGCACTCACAGCATTTTTAGACAAATAGGCTGAGGTCTGTGTGCCAGTCAGTCTTCCCGGACAGAAGCTGTGGCTCTGTTCCCTCTGTTTACTGGGAAATCTGTCTTTGAATCAGAAAATATAACTTCTGTTTTGTACATCTTCTCCCCAAAACAAGGGTAGGGCTAATGGAAAATAATAGACCTGTTACGCGGAGGGAGTTACTGCCTTGGTCTTAAGTGATTTATTTGGAAATCGACTTCATTAATGTACTAAAATGTTGAGATTTATAGCATAACAAAGTATTGGACTTACCCAGGTCACTCGAACATCTCCCTTCATTTTTGAACTATTTTTCTTTTAGAGATGGGAAAACAATTATTTTTAATAAACCAAGGCTCTTAATATAGCTGAACATAAAAAACTTTAACTTACACCAAGCCTGCCTTTTCTGTAATCAGTTCTGTGACAAAAGGAACCGGCTCGAAGAGGATGAGTAAGCAGTAAGCGAAATGGGAAGCTCTGGGCAGCGCAGTTGGGGTTGTTTGTGTGTGCTTTTGATGGCCTTGTACTCTCCGGGTGGCCCTTTGCTGCCCTCAGTTGAACAAGCTTGACTTCAGGAATAGATAAACATTTATATTTTAAAACCTGCTCCCCATACTGGAACAAGAATATATAACTATCTTGACACCATCCTGTAAAATAAGTGTCTATGTGGTGACTTGACATAGTAGAATTTAGTCAAAGGCTTTGTTCTTATGAAGTAAAAGACAAGAGATGACCTCACACTTGCCCCATTCTAAACTCTCTTGAGTTGACACAGACTTTATAGCCAACAAAGTGGAATTTTAATAACTGGATGTAAAAGGGCCTGAATATAGATTTCAGGGTAGGTACAGACATAAGACTTAGCTGCTTTAATTGTTTAAACTTTTATAGGTTATAGCTCCTGAGTTCACATCTTTTCCTTAAAACATTGTAGATGATCCCCTTAATACTACTGAAATGATTAAGCGTTTCTCGATCATTCTGTGTTTATTCTTGCAGGGAGAAAACTGGCTGTCCTGGGTGTTTGAGAAGTTGGTCGTGGTGATGGTTTGTTACTTCATCCTGTCTATCATTAACTCCATGGCACAAAGCTATGCCAAAAGAATCCAGCAGCGGTTGGACTCAGAGGAGAAAACTAAATAAGCAGAAAGAGTTTTTTAACAGCAGAAATTAGAATGGATGGGTCCTGCCTTACGTGGGAGGACTCCAGACCAGGAAAGAAAATTCCCCTTTCCATCCTGTTTCAGTTTAATTTTCTTTTTCCTGAAACCAGTTTAGTCCATATTTTGCACTGACATACTTTTCCTTTGTGTGTTAAGGTAAGGTATCCACCCTCAATTCAATTCAGATCGTATTTTATTAGGGTGGAATGTGATGTTCAGCAGCAAACTTGACAGAAACTGGCCTTTTATTTGTTACTTTGAAAAGGCCCACATCATATAATTAAAGAATTCCGGACACCACAAAAAAAGTTCCTAAGTATGTTAAATATGTCAGGTTTTTCAGGCTTGTCACAAATGACTGCTTTGTTTTTCTGAGTCATCAAAATGTATATAATTATTAGGTGGGATAACAGGGATAACAGTCTCGCATGTCTATCATGGTAAAATTTAACATGCCATCCCGGCCGGCCTGTCCTCTCCTACCTGCAAAAAAGGCCATTTTATGATGCATTGCACACCCTCTTGGGAAATTGAAATTTTGAGACAGTATAAGGAAAATCTGGTTGGTGTCTCTCCAATGAGCTGACGCCATTTTTTATTCTGTATATTTAGAATGAAGTCATAAAAAAAACTTTATAAAGACCTCTTTGATCATTCCAAAATTGTGTTTGTTTTCTTGAGCGTTTTGATTTTTCACTTCTTTTAGCTTCTACCAACTGAATGGCAGCCTTGCCAAACCCACCTATAACCATAATTTCTTAAGTGTCACTTACTCTCACGGAAAGGGACATCAGCAGGCATCTTGGTCAGGCCGGAGTCGGGCAGCCCAGCTGCACACTGCAGCAATGACTGGCAGCGTCCGGACTGGTGTGGAGAGGGTGTTTCTTGGTCTGTGGAAACAGGAGAGAGAGTAGTATACGAATAAACTGGCGAGAGGAAACACTCGTTTTTAAAAACCCACACTTTTCTCACGTGTTAATTTTAGCTTTTAGCTCAGCGTGTACTCTGGTTTTAAGAGAAATTTATATGTAACCTACTTTACTTGCCTTTTTCAGTTTTGTTCTGTGGTTTTTTTTTCTTTGTGATGTTTCTAGTTAACTTGGTCATTACGTTTTGCTTGGGAGGGAAATAAACAATTTCGCTTTTTCCCTTCAGGGAAGATTGGTACTGGCATTACGTGGGGAGTAGAATTGGGTGTACATCTCAACAGGCCAGAAGTGCCTGGTCGGTTTTGTCAAACCCCGCCCGAGTGTCTGCTTGTCGTGTCCACCGTCGTGACATCTCCATGCACGTACCACCTTGTCGGGTAGCTTATCAGACTGATGTTGACTGTTGACTCTCATGGCAACAGCAGTCGATGGGCTGTCCGACATTCTGGTATCTCTCATCTGACCATCCATACCAAATGTTCCCATTCCCACATGACCCGACCTCATGGCTTATGGTTTATGATTTCTGCAAAAACCCTGTCCTCTGTCTAGTGGCGCTTCGAATCTTTTATGTTGTGATATTGCAGCATAGGCAGGGGAATTTTACGGAAAATTGGGATGCTGTCCGTGACCACAGATAAATGAATAAAGTATAAGCAACCGGCCTTGTGGGTTTTGAAAAGGTTGTTCTTAATCTATTTTTCCACCCAGGGACTTTCTAGCAGTATGGTTGTTACCTTATTTAAATAGCAGTACCCAAACGCTTTATTTTAAATAGACTCACATT